TCATCGGAATATCCGTATGGTTGCCATCCCTACCCCGAAAAGCAACCGTCCTCCCTTAAATGCGTGTCTCAGTTGGCACACGGCGGATTACGGTCAGATTGCTACATGGTAGGTCATAGCATCAGCTAACACAAACTCCTGATTATCGTGAACGCTTTACTGAATTTTACCCAGTAGCCAAAATGGGATAGATAGGTGCGTAAAAAGTTAGACCGAAAATTTTTCAGGATACCTTCCTTTTTGTTACTCTTTTGTCAGTGAAATCTCTATTATATAAAAACGATTGTCGACAGGCGAACGGAAGGGGGCAGGCTGGGCTTCAATTTTTTCCCAAGGAGAGAACGATGTGGGAAAATCATCAGCAAGCATCAAAAAAGCCAAAACGCCAGATAAGATGAAATTCACCGCACAGTCTACCGTCCTTCCATGGACGGGTTCCACCCAGCAGCGCGCTGATGATGTCCCCACGAATAATGATGAGACTTGTGTAATCGAAATTCCCAGGGTCAGTGAACAGACCAGCAGCCAACCAATTAACGCGGTTATTCCTATTACTATTCAGAGAAGAACAGGTGAGTAGAAAGCGCTGCATCAGTGAAATCAGAATCCACTTATGTCAAACGCCGTAAACAAGCAGAGTCCATCGGAAATTCCTACATTCAGCTACCGCCACACCACCAACGTCCATGTAGGACTGAGTGAATAGATGGGACACCCGAACAGATGTCTCTCCAAAAAGAATACTGATCCTTTTTGTCATCTCCGCTATGCTATATCGTGCTTAAAATCGATTAATTTCACAGTCAAAACGGTCATTACCAAGTCAGAGGTTGGGCTAAGAAGTGATAGTGTAATTTGGTTGAGTCAAACTTTCTTTTTCTTAGGTTTCGCACGTAAGGGATGCCTCTCAAGTTTCTGCAAATTTAAAATATCCAACATTTTAGACTACCGAAGTTGTCCCTGGAAAACTCTACCAATTACCGTCACTCACAATTCTCCCATCTGATTTCTCCACGGCGCAGTAATTCTTAACGCACTGCGAGCAGATACGGACAAAGAGATCAACTATATTGAATCATAAACAAGATTCTGATACATATATCTAGTAGCTCATAATGTCACCCGTTACGAAGGTTATACAGGTGGAATATCTGAACAGAACGAGGGAGTGGTTCACGCCTTTTACCTCATCCAGAATTGGCTGGCCGACCTCTAATCTTGAGCCCTATCAGACTAAGCCCTCGAGGAATAGACCAGAGAACAAATGTACAGAGGCACAAACGTACATGGCCCCCAAAATGAACTAATGACTGTTCGTAGTCAGGAACTGTGAAGCGCCCGGCAACAAAAGCATATCGTAGTGACCTATAAAGGTTACAAAGCAAAAAATCATTGAGATGTCATTGGCGAGAGTCAGCTGAAACGGTTGGGTAATTTTTTTGTGTCCACTTTCCGGATATTAGTGCTCTTACGCTGGTCGAGCAGAGTAACATTTTTCATTCTTGATTGAATTTGTTAATTGGTGACCAAAAACATTTCAGTTCCATCCACGTGAATCGACTAATGAAGAACAACATGAGTGGCCTGATAATTTTGTCGCAAAGTGAGTCTTTGTTGTGTGCGACAACTCTATAGGCTATAGCTGGTCGAAAGAAACTTCGGTAGAAACAATTTTTATGGGAGTAGACTGCTTATAGTAGCACTGTCACTGATAGTAAGTTCACGGACTTGGCAGAAGAAACACCGTCGGTTCATGGACGCCATATCAACTGTCTATTGCACAAAAACATGAACTGGAAAGAGATCCCGAATACGAATTCGTTTATAATAATTCATTAAAGTGGCTAATAACAAATTCCAATGACACCAGAAATGATCGCGTAAAAACTATCGTCCCTCACCAGAAGAGTGGAGCAAGCGGGTTCACAGTGGTTACCTCAAAACGAACAACCGTGAATTTCAGGGCTAGGACACAGTGGTTTTAGTGTAGTTCTGTGAATACCAATGCTGTTAGGCGTAATTCATCGTATTGGCGGGGAAACCCTGAAGTCTCTCAGTCTGAATGTCCGGGACGGACAGACAGAGTAAGCTGTGAAAATATTGTTTGATACCTCTGGATTGTTGGTCGTCAGAGTTTCTACCTCACCTCACATATCGTTGAAACGTCCTTGGGCTTCCCCTCTGTGTTGTGGAATCACCAGCACATTTGCACCGGGATAAGTGTCATTTGATCACGTATTTGCTTTTTCTTAATGACTGCATAACCCTATTCTGCAGACCGTCCGAAGATAACTGTGGGTTCGGCGGAGGCCACCTAACTGCCTGAGCATGAGGTGCGGTTTCGAAGGTTCCATACTTTACATGTTAATGTGACCGAAATCGGGACGATCCATTTTGGTTTGCATGTTCCTGTACCATACTGTTTCACTCGACCTATCTCACATGGCGATATGGTTGAGTCCAAAGGTATCATAAGGCCGTTTTATTCGTCAGTCCTTTGGCCGCACCTTCATAATTTCGTGATATAATGCACATGCCCACGAAGTGGATTGTCTTGCGAATTCTGACCAATAGTTCTTATGATAAATACTTTGCAGGCTGACACAAATAAGGCAACAATGTAGAATAAAATTTACTGCCAGACTTTCCCGCTATGTGCACGTGGACCGAGCATCACAATCGCCGTCTTTGGTGCTTGCTCGAATTGGGGATTAGGACATCTAGTCAAGAAGTTATGGTTGAGCAATGAGGTGCCTCACTAACCATGTCCCGTAGGTAAAGTCACATCCCATCACTATTCGTCAACCCGGCAATAAAAGGGTAGTCATCCGGAGTTTGGCCAACCTATGACAGAGAAAATGTACGACCACAGTCAGCCAATGGAGACCTCGTCCTGCAAGTGAAGCCAGTCTAGGCTGAAAAACCGAGAAGCACTGTAAAGATCTTTCATCCTCATTGGGGATCATCAGCAGTGCGCATCTCACGAAACTCAGGGTAGTTTCGAACCCATGACCTCCCGGACAGACGCTGAACACCTAACCGTTCGACCCCGAGTGGCTGATCAGCAGTGTGATTAATTCGCCCCTAGAGGAGACATACGCTGATGAATCTCAATAAAGCTCCTCGGCTTTTGAGTATAGATTGGCTGCACTTATGGGGCGAAATCCCCATTAGAAATTCCCAAATCTCCCAACCCTACCAAAAAACCGGAAAAACTAAGCTAACAAGTAGAGTCTGTGTAAAATTCATTTTTGACACTGTGAGTTTTTCATATTTTTGGTCATTGGATGCTATACATCTGACAGTCTACCAACGGAGGACAGCAGTTGCACTAATCTTGCATTCGTTCTCCCGGTCAGAATGATAAAAGGTGAACAAAACGCTTTGACAGACTCAGTCAACCAGTTTACATTTTCATAAGGGCTTTAGAGCGAAATACATGGACCAAAGAGTGTTGGGATTATATTCACCCAGTTGATGCGACTAGGTACCTCGAAAAACTAACTGTCCACGATAAGCGTGGAGAATGCACATAAATGCTCTGGCACTGCAAATCGACATACACTTGTGAAAAGGACTCTGGTTAGAAAAACTAAGTTAATTAAACTCAAGTCATGTGCCTCTCATTTCGATTTCTTGCTATTCCACCCATCACAGATTTTCATTAGCCCGATCTCCAACTTGCGGTACGGTAAGGTCTATCCGATCGCACGCAATCACTTCAAACCAAACTTTTAAGATCATCCCACGGCAGCCATCACTCGCTCCCTCAAATAAACGTACGCTCAATCTGCTCATTCTTCTTATTGCTCACAGCCTATCTGTTTCGTCGCCCGTCCCCTACCCTGACAACGGCATGCTTCGGTAGCATGAATGAGCGTGAGGTACCAGGTTGACCATTTTTCACTTTGCGTGTGTTAACGACGCGCCAGCCGAGTGATGGGTCGTTTTTATCCAACCCTGCCCTGCATCGTTTCGAGAACTAAGCCTCCGCTTAAGGGCTTGTATCCAACACGCCTTGTCAAAACAAACGACGTAGACCACATTTTCGGGGTTCCGCCGCTTTAATGCGTGCATCGATCTACACCTTCTCTACTGAACATCTGCTACGGAGGCGAAAATAGCAGGCCTACCATATGAATCAAACACAAAAAAGGTGGTCCATCGAAGCCCTCAGGGCACTTGTGAGGGTGAGGCAGAGCTTTAGCCACCTGAACCACTTCGCCGTGGCGAAGTCGTATGGGGCAACGGTGATTCACGCCGGGAAATGGCAAAGGCGGTCGCATAATTTTATCGCTAGGACAGTTGGCCTGCTACTTGGAATCCAGTTGACCAGCGGCCAGACGCCCGGTAGGTCACTCACTGAAATTTATTTCTAGACAGGAACCGTAAAATGCAAAGGAGACCAAGGAGACCAGGTATTACAACGAGAAATTCCACCCATTTCTGGGTTGAGTGAACACGATAACCACTTGGCGAAGCACACTCATTTGCAAATTACATTGGCTTCAACGGGAGACCAAACAAAATTTCCTGTTTATGAAGTTCTAGCAGTAGGATCTCAGCACCACCATCAGTACTGTGTTATTTCGTGGAGTTTGTTTTGGGGAGTTCTAAATCACAGAAACATGATGATTCCGGTCGGTCAAGTGTGCGCTGATGGATTAGTGGTAGCACGCTCGCCTCGTACGTCAAATGTCGGCAGTTCAAGGCCCGGTAAGACCAAGGACATGCATAGCTCCTGAACTCTAATACGAACGAAACTCGAGTCTAATACTTCCCACCCTCTTGATGTGGACTTACCAGAATAATTGGGCCAGTACAAGAGGAAAGATATGAACGTGAATTCTACAAATCGCGCAACCACCCGCAACTAAATATTCAGTATTTCTAGAAACGCTGATACCATAGAAGAAACATTTATATCAGTTTGTCGCGTACACCTCACTGATGTCCGCTAACAGAACGCTCGGGACATAAGATAATAAACGGTCACTCACTCTGTTCAGGTTTAAAGCTTTGTGCAAATCCGGATATGAGAATCGTCACCCACACATTAATCCAGTAAAGCAACTTCTTGATCATAACGAAATCTCATCAAATCAGTTGTGTAGCGTGAATGCACGTAATCTGACCGGAACTTTTAAGTCCAGTATCATCCCGGTATTTGTCCCTGTGTCGGCGGCAGCAAAGTGTCGCACTAAGCCATACGGCACATGTAGATGTTTGACTGCCACATGTTCTTGGTCTCACTAACCAATTGCCGCGTGGCCCAGAGTCAAGCAAGGTCACTCACCTGGTGGGCGACTGATGATTGGATAAAACGATTGACCAATGCCAGCGCGAGGGTTTCGTAGGGCAGTGTCAGCTGACTGAGCTTAGTACCAGGGGTCCAATTCACGAAGCAGTGAGCGCCTGCCTGGTTCATCTCCCTCATTTTAACTAGCAAGATTACGGCTTGGAAACGCTCCCAGCTGATATACTGTTTTACGATATGAGGGTTAAAATTCACCAACAGTCTGCTTCTAAATACATTGAAATTCAGCCTATAGCTGGCGTAGAAACAAGTGACTTAAAGGACAACGATGGAGTGTCGATTAGCATATTTTATACATATTTTATATATGTACATATATACATATGTATATATATGCATATATATGCATATGTATATATGCATATTTTATACAACAATGATCCATCATACGAGCTGAATGTATGCGAAGTAACAACTACATCTAATTCGCACGTTGCCCGAAACGCTCATACTTTCATACGATGATAATTTTTACGAGCATTTCCGCAGAAATTTGTCACTCAACAAGTAAAAATGGTTACGATACGGGACCAACCAGTATGCACATAGTTTGACTGAAGTTTTAGTCTGGTCATTTGATCCCATTCTGTTCTGTCGAAAATTAGTTTTGTTCACGAAGAAGTTACGAACCATCGACCCTGAGGACGCAAGTGAATCATACTGGATTTTGAAGGAGTGTGAGATTCACATGTCTCTAAGCTGCTTCACTTGGCTAATGTTCGCCTTTTTCTTTAGACTTCAAATAACATGGGCTGAATTCGCGACGATGACCCTCGATTTAACTGAGCCTATAGTAGATAGAAAAACGAATTATTGCAAGCTAATCAATGCGAGATTCAAAATTTTAGTGTTAGATTTATCCTCCCGAAGGCTTTGGAACAACAAGCGAACACTCTGGTCACTGCAGCGTATCATTAGTCCAGAATGTAAACTAGCAACAACTGGTCATTTATGATCCTCTTTGCCTTGAGATCCTTATCGGACACTGCATTTTAGACAGATAAGCTGTCGTAGTCGGATCTTTGAATTTGTGCCAAGACGATCACTCCTGGAATGGTCATTTTAGGGGACGCATCATGGTAGAAAGATACATAAACTTTCGCGATTTCATTAAGAATAAATCTAGCTAGTACAAATTTTCGCTATAGAAACAAGGTGTTTGATTCAACTGAGTCTACAACCCTGATGACGTGCGTTTGTATGAATGCGGACTCATCACCTTTGCGTAACGGGACCAAAGGTGTCCGGGTTTTGTTGTAACACCCGGTTAGCTCGATATATTCCCAACACTAACCCTCGATGAATGCAAATAGCGAACTGATAATGGCGGGCTTATCGAGGTGTCAAGGCAGTTTGTCCTCAATCTGTTAGGTTATTTTATATTTTTATACATCATTTACGAACGTGATTGTTACAAGTAAAGGGCCCCAAACAAACGAGCTAACCGCTCAGATCATGCGGTAGTCAGAATTATGCGAAAGCGTTATAAGATCGCTTTTCTCCCACCGCACGCTTTCCTATTAACCCGCGGATTGCCGCTGAATATGCCATTAATAGGGTTGTAGTTGCTATCGGAGATCCACCCGAATGTTTACACATGAGTTCTCAGCTATCAAGTTTTAATGCAAGGCACTTTGTTGTTTAGTGCACAGTGCCACGAGTGATTTCATTCAGGAATGCAGTATTTAAACAGTATACTAACACTAACAGTTCTGTGACTCTCTGTGCGGCACGAGATTCCCACTGAGGCCTCTTATTGACCAGTCGTGTCTATCTGTGATTCTCATTGTTCAGGTTTTGACTTGTCTTCATAACTTTTGGCTTGACCACATGTGTCCATTAATTGTAGGGCAAACGCTCGCAGCCATGACCAGGTTAGACTAACATGTTCCGTCTCGTTTCAGCTCGCTACACTCACATACCTGCATATGTTGTGAACGCTGTCATTCCTTAAGGTAGCAACTTCACGTGTCCAGGACACATGTGACAGGCCAATTGATACATAAGTACTTTTAATTGTTACTTCCAAATGTGCAGGAAAATGGGAAGTGAAGTGTAGTTTGTCCGTTTATATACTTTGGGGCTCGGGCCTATTTGTCTATGAATATCTGGCATTCGAAAATCCTTCATTTGTGAGTTTAGTTCAGTTGCAGTACTGATGAAATACAGAGCGTTCCATAAATGAACAAATGGACTCAGGCCATATCTAATATCAGAGTGCGGATTCGTTTCTTCCATACGGGTGAGTACAGTTGGTTCATGTAGAAAAATTACACGTGCTTTCACTGAAACAGAAGATGATGTTTGAATACTTGCCGAATGGGATAACGCAGTTGAAAATTGACCACCGGGTTCATTCAAATGAATCGGTTCTTGATAAAGCGTATCGAGAGAATCACACGCCTCTTCAAATCATAATGAATTAAATTTAATACAGTTATCAACTAATTTGTCTCACGTGCTGCTCTTTCAACATGAAGTCTAAAACAGCATGTTTCTAAAAATATTGGGATATTATCAAACCTACGCTTCATCAGCATGTCAGTATATGCCGTCGGCCAATTAAGCTTGTACAACTTCATGTCCCTTTAAATGATCATTTTTAAACGTTTTTAGTCTATATTTTAGGGCGCAACAAGGAGTTTGGTATAGAAATATCGGCTTTTTCCATATGGATCCGTGCTAGCTAATTGAAAAATCATGTATCGCGTAAACGAGCTACCGAAAAAAACGTTTTGCACTCCAGAGGTATCGAACAGATTACCTTTTCTCGGTGGGTGTATGTAGGGCTGTAGGGAGGCGGTGGAGTGAAATCGTGTAAGAGGACTATTTTAGTGCATTATACGGGTGTTCAGTCTGCTCGTTCGGTATGGTTGTTCCATTTGTCGAATGCTGGGTCGTTATGCCTGAATCATTCAAGTAGCCGCCATTGCATTCCCATCCGCCACACGGTCTAGTTGCTTAGTGCAATGGACGTTTAAGCCGTAGGTTTGGCTCGTATATAGGACGAAACAGTCTAAGGATGATCCCTTTCGATGTAATTGTGGTTCTAGCAACATATATGCAGCTATATACGCAGTCATGCCTTCCATTCAGTGTTATTTTCCCTAATAGATCTGATTACAAAAGTTGGGCGCCCATAGCGGGATTCGATGAACCCTTTACGATTATACTGTATACAAGTAACGTGGAAACTAGTCAAAAACAGCTGGCCAGATTTGTACTGGAGAACGACTGAGATAGAATCAGCTTCACTTGAACTTTTAGTTGCATAACTAAACGCGTAAACGCCGTCTTCAGTTGAAAACACCTATTGTGGTACCGAAACGATAACCTACGGAGAAAATTTTGACTGTAACTATCCTGTTCCATTTTACCTACCGAAACATAACGCACGAGGACCCCACTTTTTTTCAGCTCGTTATTTCTCAATTACACAAATTACCCTGTTTGTTGGTCCTAGTATTATCACTAATATTATTAATCCTCGGATCTGGTAACCTCCACGTGGGGCCACCGCAAGGGAAGTGTATTATCAGGTCTCTATTGGCCTCTTTATAGAGCGATCACACAATGAAGCAAGTCTAACAGGCAATGATGTAACTTACGCTCCGGGAAGGTATTATATTTCAGGATGAATATCCTTCTAGGGTGTTGAATTTAATTCACTTAAGAAAAGGTGGTAATAGCCCCGGACACCGGAAACCGAAGGGGTAATGAGCTGCGAATTTTGAGAACCGCTGTGGTAGAACAATGAATGAATGTTGATTCGGATCCACCGAAGTGCTTCAAAGGTAGCAAGCATCTCAAATGATTTATCCTACTTCTTTATAGTTTGAGCATTTCGGAGCAGTGCTGAAGGCAACCGCTGTCATAGAATCATCTTCCGGTTTACATTCATTTCATTCTGGAACAGTTGTTTACGAGATCTTTGTAAGTTCGCTTGGCACACATTTTAGGCTACAGAAAGGATTTTTCGGGAGCCGCTGGGTAAGAGGCTAATTCACCTACCTTTAAAGAGGATACAGAAGCGCCATTTCCCCTCTATTTTAAATTACTTTCGGATTCTTGATTCTATATTAGAAGTGGTCCATATCACTGTACATCTTTCATAACAAAGTGGGTGATAGTTTATTTGATTGGAAGGGATGATAAATTGTTTAGTTCGTCGTAAATCAAATTGATAAGTGAATAATTGAGTGGAAGGAAAGTCGTAGAATTTCTGACAACACGGGCATAATTATGGCGTGAACTTCGTAATGCATGTTGTTACCGGTCCATCAGTAGTTTCCGATTTTGAGGCGATGTAAATCGCCAAATGTACGAGTTTATGGAATCTAACGTTTCAAATTGAACCGATGGAATTACTATTCCAAAAGAGAAATAAAACCTTCAAGAGCGGTGGGGCCAATTGCGCTGCTCTTACTCATGGTTCAGTGATCGAACCAAATCCCATAATATTGGTCGGAACAATAAGATGGTTTGTCCAACTCGGGCCATTAGACTGGCACTAATACATAAGTAAATAGTCAAGGAATTTTGGGTTGACTGTGAGCAAACTATTGTTGATGAACCAGATGGCCACTCCGATATTTTCCCTGTCCGGAGCCCCTTGATGTATTATTCGCTTCGAAACCACCGCCCATTTGCGTGCTTATGCAATTTGTGATTTTATGACTTTGTTATTTTCGTGGATGCAGGTGTCCCACTCCCGATGCGTGCGCTTTGTATGATGGGCTTTGGGTTCGTTGAGCTATTACAGTACAACGATCTAAAAACCTAGCACACTGCCCCGGTTGGCTCCGGGGCAATGTTAATCCAGTTACACAAGGATGGTGAGTAGATCAGTTATGCGACTCGAGTGAATTGTGCGTCTTTGGTTATCTCCGACCAGCTGTGCGCTGGGTAGACT